TGTGGCATGGAGACTACTGTAGGGCTCAATTGTGGAGTGTCACTACGATGCAAGAGCGTATTGTGACGACCCTTGCACGTAAAACAATTGTGAGCACTTGTGCAATCCCTTAACTGATGACCCCTAGCGAAACAGTTCAAACATAGTTTTTGCTGTTTGATGTAAGTTGCCCGTTCGCTGACGGGATAGGGTGATTCTCCCTGGAGCACAATTTGCAGGCTTGCGGCTTGTTAGCGACCTTATTCTCAAATAAGTTAAGCCTTTTAGTGGTAGGAGGTTCTGTTCGAACAATTCTGGAGTGCGCTGGAGTATTTGCGCTTGGCTTAAGCTCTTCTATCGCTTCTAGAGTGCGATTGCGTTCTAAGAGAAAGGCGTCCATCTCAAGCCAAGATGAGAAGTCGTTTTTTCACGAGGATACAGTCCCAGTTTTCTATGTTGATTTCGGATAACTCCAGAGCTGTTAAGCAACCTTCAATGGTGCTCTAAAGTTTCTTAATTGCCGTTCCAGACTCTTGGGAGATTGGCTGCAGGTTGAAAAGAATCTTGAGCTGGCTGTTGAATAACAATTTTCGGTTCTCAAAACGCTGTCAGATTGGCCCAGGCTGATCGGAAGCCATCGTTAGTCAAAGGTAACTTCGATACAATCGCCTGAGCCTCACCGCTGGTTTTCCCATTGAGATGGAATAATTTCTCGACCTCTGATAACCTAGGATTATTTATGAAAATTGCGGTAAAGAGGTATCGAAATGTGGGCCAACGTATGTAATCTTCGCTGAAGATTTCTGTGTCGCAAGGAGGTAAGCGACACGCGGTGGGAACATATGTCGGAATGGTGGACTGAGCGGATGGTCTATTGCGGGCGTTACCGGTATCGATTTGCTCGCTAACAAAAGTCGTAAAAAAAGTCGTACTTGGACTGCATAACTGAAATGGTTTCCATTGAACCGGCTTCCGAGATTATTGTTGAGCCGGCCTCGTACTCTTTTTCGACCTTGTCCCACAAGGCTCGCACTAGGTCCCGACGGACCTGACACGTATAGAGAGTCGGGTCAGAGCCTCCAGGAGTGTTTATTTTTGCCTCAAACTGACGGCCGATCAGTGACAGCAATAAACATGAATAAGTTGACTAGATCTTGTGCTAATGGTTGCCTTAGTGCGTCCGACTGCAGTGGTCAGGGATGCTTAGTTTTAGATTTAGACGGCGGGCGGATGATTTTTATTAGTGGACTTGGCCTCGAACTAAGAGGTGTTTTAACAATTCCCTTGTTGGCATACCAGGCGGAAGCGACTGGGGAGGTAAGCAAAGGTGCTCGCTTCTAGTAGTAGAGATCGCGAGGCTTGAAACAAGGAAACACTGGAATGCCGATACAGGTAAATATAGAGTTTATAATTCGATTGAAATTGCGGAAGATTTAAATAATTGTGCTTAAATCAAAATTTATTTGATTTGGTAACAAAAAAAAATATAATATTATATTAATTATAATTGCCGTTTTTTTATTTGTGCGTCTAGGAATAACAATAATTATATTTGACTGTGTTGAATTGCTTACAAACATGTAAGCAGAAATGCAGTTCGGCAGCTGTTGTTTTTAAATGTGTGTGTGTATGTATGTATATACGCACATATGCCGGTTGGAATTACAATTTATTATTATAATATTGCTGTGTTATTTATTTTATTGAATATTGGATTGTGCACTAAGGATATTATATGTGGACACACATAGTACATATCATCTGTGGATTTATTTATCGGATGTATGTACTATGTGGTTGCACAAATATATTCGTTTGCACTGTGCAAAATTATAAGTAAGTAATAAGTAAGTAATAACGAGCTGGCTTCTCCGATGTCTCGAATCGCTGCTCAAACAATGGGTAGCATATTTGTGATAACCACTTGGCTGATGCGCTTTCCAAAGCTTTACTCAACGCTAATATAAGAGCGCTGTCACTTAATGGGTTTGCTCGTAAAGTTATGTCGAGCGCAACACTGCGTGGCATCTACCCCAGCAATATCCGGATCATATTTCGGCAAGCAAATCTCGCTGGTATATTGTAACTCACTCGCAGGCATCTGTAGCCTCTTAACCAGTTCCAGAAAATTCCAGTTTTGCTGCCTAACAAAGACATCCATTGAAGAAATTTGGTTAGGGGCTAGTCCCACTTCTGATGTCGGAGAATTAATGTCATCTCTCTGCAGGTCATCATTGTTGGTCGCTTGATCGTTCGGATTCTATTGCTCCGTACTCAGTTATGGCGAATACAGCGAGTCTTCGTTGCCTTTGTTGCTCATTATTGTCTCTTAAATACACACACGTGACCAACGTTACGACACGCCGGTAACACAGAACCGCCACAAGAGAGAGAGAGAGAGAGAGAGAGCAGATCTAAGAACGCATACGAAGCCACACTCAGCCTCAGTTCGCAAACTGAGTCCCCATTCCCATTCGTCATGGTCACACCTTAAGGTCTCTTGCTCGAGATGCTACAACACTTCCTCTCCGATAAGCTTGTGTTATCAATCCAAACATATAATTAAATACATTACATGGCGACCATTGTGGATGACACCTGCTTCTGACACTTGCTACCAACATACCACCCATCTGAGAAGCGCAGGATTGAAATGCCAACACAAATTTTTTTGGATACATCTATTGGGGCAAAAAATTGGGTCTTTAGTTGTCCATGATATAATACAAAGATCTTGCAGTTAACAGTAATAATAATAATAATAGATTTTGCCAAGACCTTGCCTCAGTGAAAATAAATGAGGTGGGTAAATCAGACCAAAAACCTAGTTTCGACCCATCGTTCCAATGGGCAGATATGTGATATTGTAGTCCGAAGTAAATAAGATTTTACAAACGTGAAGAGATCATAGTGAAAACTTTAAATGCCCTGTTTAATCAAACTATCTTGAATGACAAAACAGTTTTCTATACAACTTAATTTTCGACCGATCATTTCTATGACAGCTATATGATATAGTAGTGCGATCTTAATAGGATTTTGCCTATATATGAGGAGTATAGTACAACTAATAAATGCCAAGTTTGGTCAAGATATCTTGAAAAACCAACAACTTAATTTTCGACCGATCGTTCCTTTGGCTGCTATATGATTTAGTGGTCCGACCTTAAAATGAAACTAATAAATGTCGAGTGGTCAAGATATCTTAAAAAATTAGATGTTTTTCCATTAAAAATAATTTTCGACCGATCGTTTCTATGGCAGCTATATGATATAGTGGTCCGATCCAGCTGGCCTTGACATATGTGGCCACTTAGATGTAAAATATGAAAAGTCAGCTGATCTTTCAGACTGCATTAAATTGAACATAATTTTCTCATTTTACAAGGCAGCCGTAACAGTTTCCTGCAGTCTCTGTGTACATAAGTACGGATAGAAGCCCTGTATGTACGCATGTGTTAGTGAATTTTACGAGGAAATTACCTCATTGAATTTACAAGTTGAGCTAACAGGTGCGATTGTGCAATTAACAGAAGAGTTGACATCATTTTGTACGAGCATTTACATGAGAATGAAGAAAAACTTAATAGATCAGGCCACACCGTTATAATTTAGATGTAGTGAATAATAATTGTGTTTGTATTTGTGACTTTGCTGAAATTGAAGGGAAGTAAATGTTCCGATTTTCACGCTGCGTTCTTTTTCAATTCGACAGCAGAACAAGCAAGACGCATATTTTGAGCGCACATAAATCATAGTAATTAAACGTGAAGTGGCTGTACACAGCTTCGGATTTTTCGGGGCATATCAAGCACGAAGCTTTTTGAAAGTTTCCAGTGATAAGCAAGCTACTTGCTGATCTACCTCTTCTTTACTGTCTCTTTTTGATAAGTGGTGGATCTAACAAAGAATGGGACCGCTCAAGTGTTCGCAGATCGAGCTCGGATATAAGTTGCTAGGCGATTTGTTAGAATTTGTACGTACACACTTCGATCTATATGCTCGTCCCTTAATATTTAAAAATTATGAATGTAATATAAAAGTTACTGCATAAGAAACTCCATTTCCTTAAAAAATCAATATATTATTCTGTCCCAGATGCTTATCCTGTTCCCGAGATTAATCACATCCTTGAGCGGTTGCGTTACGCCCGGTTCATCTCCACTCTGGATTTGAAGTTCGGGTACTGGCAGATACCGATGGCAGCCGATAGTCGGGAATGTACGGCATTTACAGTCCCCGGAAGAGCTCTTTTTCAGCGGCGGGTGATGCCATTTGGCTTACACTCGGCGTGTGCGACCGGCCAGAAGCTACTTTACAACATGTATAAAATAAGAATTCAGAATAAAGACGAAATCAAATGGAGCAGACCCTCCATCACGAAATCAAACTATTTAAAATCAAAAACAAGTGCGTTGATCAGTCAGTCAGGAAATAAATAAACGTCAAAGCTATTTTGTTCAGAATAACATTCCCGCTGTGTCTCGGTTTGAGGGAGTGTTAAAATAATGACTACTTCTAGTTGTGGCTTCGCGGCTCTTACTTATCCGAAATGTTCCTTTTTTTGGGGATTACGCCCACTTGGCAAAAGTAAAAGAATTGGTGTCGTGATTGCTTTGTCTTATGTGCAACCACTTTTACTTTACTAATATATAAATAACCAAAAATATATAAAACACAAAACCACCAACTGTTCGTATCGATACTAATAAAATGTATTTCACCTACTTTTCCCATAGATGAGTTGGAGAACAAACCTGAAATCAGTAAACAGCGTACTGATATAATGAATAAAGTTAAACAGGCTTTACAGTCTATTCGCATTCATGGTAAAGGGTATATGGTCTATTCCTACTTATGGATTTGGGATAAAAACAATTATTTAAGCGAAGTCAAGAAATATGGTCGCAACTTGACATTAGCCGAACGTGACGCGGAATTGGAGCAAGAAGGAAGCTCTGGAATTAAGCCGATAGGAACTGGAGAGTACCCACCATTTTCAGTTTATAAAGAGCAACTGGATAAGTTTATAGATTTACAGGACCAAGTTCACCAGTGGGAAACATATGATATATTTTTTGGATTCTTGCGACTAAATATGGATGGCTTTAAGAGATCCGTCCTTAATCAAATTGGTCAGTGGATCAGTTTGTTTAAAATGGATCTCATTAATTTTGTACGAAACTCACTTCAGGTAAGATTTATGGTACTCTAAATCAAAATATTTTTAGTGGTGGTGGATGTATTAATATTGACGGTTTTGTGTGATTACATATTACTTAATAGTAACAGGAAACCTAATTTTATACAGCAGCTCTAGCGCATTTCGGAAGCTTCGCCATCTCTGGTTCCATAAAGTAAGTGCTTATATAATTCATCAGGAAAACATGCTGAGAGGGTCTAGGCATATACGTCAGAGAGAGTTCTCAGTTGAGAGTGATTGACGTGTTTTACTTGTGCTCCAAGATTTTTATGTATTTTTGCGCTTTAATCCTGCTTTTGATTTCAAAATTTTGCATTTTTCGGTGCTTTATTTAAAAAGCTTTTATAAACTGTGCAAAGTGTTATCTGTTTTGCAGCGTAAATTTGTTAATTATTGCATTTATAAAACGCGGCGTCAGTTCCGTGTTGTTAATGCCCGTTTTGATTCTTTTGCTTTGGTGCTCCCCTGTTGCATACACTTGTTTGTGCGTGTGTTCGCTGCATACTTTCTGCTTGTGCATCGCGCTCTCGCAAATTTTTACTAATGCTTTTCGCTCCAAACAATTTATTTGTGTACGAATAATTGTTTTTTGAGTGTTTACTTGCTCTATCTTGTGCACCGTTTTCGTTTTGCTCTGCGCTCTCGCAACTTGCATACGCATTTAATAATTATGTCGTGCTGTAAGAAACCGTGCACGTTCAAGCAGGCTGACGATTCTGCACTGCCGCAATTTGTTAATTGCTGGCGTTGTGAGAATATGATGCATGCTAAATGTGCAAGTCTCACTGGGCGTGATTGCGACAAGATCGCTGCTACTGCCAAGAAGGGCTGCGGTGGCTTGCGTTGGTCGTGCCCAGAATGCATCGACAAACAAATTGATTTCTCCAGAATGTATAATTCTGTGAGAACTCAATTCTTAAAATAATTAATGTGGCTAAGCAGCTCTCGAGAAATTTTTACTCGACTTTCGAGTTGCTTGGCAAATATAAATTTGAGTCCCCAACCAATCGCCGGTTGGAGCCTCAACTTTGGCAATTACCCTCTACGTCTGTTCAGACACCTACGACATTTTTGTCCCTTCCTAGCAACTTGGATGTATCTCCAATGTTGTCTTTATCGCCGACCCAAACATTGTGCCTCTTTAGCTCCTCAAACTCCTGTATTACCTACAGCCCCATCAGCGCTTTATTGTGTTTCGACTTTCGTCGGACACCACTTCTGAGTCATTGGCAGCCTATATTGCTAGCAAATCTTCTGCTAGCGTTTCAATAACCAAATTTAATTTCTACACCCGTCGTGAAATATCATCATTCAAAATAAATGTTTTGCATGATATGTTCCAAATCATTTGTGATCCCAAATTTTGGCCTTCACATATGATTGCTCACGAGTTCAAGCCTAAAAAGCGTAACCAGCCTGTCACCCTTGCAGTCCCTTCAATACAGGGTACCATTTCTGCCCCAAAAAACTAGCTTCATCTTCTGACCAAATCTTTATTCATTATAAGAATGTCTGAAGTCTCATTTGAAAGCTTAAAAATCCCTTAATGGCCAGCACTTCCTTCGACTCGGATATAATAGCGTTTTCAGAAACATGGTTAAGCTCACCAATATCTGATTTTGAGATTTTACCGAATAACTTCATATTCTTTAGGAATGATCGGCCGACTCGAGGTGGTGGGGTGTTAATTGCCGTTAAAGCCACTCTCCAGTCTGAACTATTCTGTTTTAGTACGCCTACTGACGCTGAGATTGTCTCAATTAAGGTGTCTTTTCCTACACGGAATATCTATGTAACATGCTCTTATGTCCCACCTTCTTCTGATATTCAAGTTTATATGAAACATATTACTTATATTAAAGAAGTTAATTCACAAGTGCGTGATAATGACCTATTAATGGTGTTGTGTAGTGTAGTGCCTTTGATCTTTCGTTATTTCAAATCAATTCAATTTCTAATCATATGAATAGAACACTTGACCTTGTATTTGTTAACGACTACCTTATTTCTAATGTGTCTAGGTCCCCTCCTTTATCCCTTCCTGAGGATGTCTATCATCCTACTTTAGAGATTGCAATGCTAAGTTGTAATCCTTTCATTTCGTGCTCATCAGCTAATAAGCCCCGCTATTGCTTTCGCAAAGGAAATTAGTCTTTGCTGAATCAGCTTATTTATGCAACCGATTGGTCTTTCTTATATAACTCAATTGATATGAATACAGCCATTAATTTTTTTTATATCACCCTTAACTCCCTCTCAAAACCACCCTGGTTTACTCCCAGATTATCACATCTAAAAAATGTAAAATCCAAATATTTTAAAAAGTTTAAAAAGTCTGGTGCGTGTACAGACTTGGCTAAATATACCAAAGCCAAGTCGAACTTCTTTCTTCTTAATTCTCAATGCTATGAGAATTACCTAACTCGTTGTAAGAGGCAATTTGCCCAAAATCCGAGACAGTTTTATAATTTTGTAAACTTGAAGCGTAAATCTTCAAGTTTGCCATCTTCTATTTTATACCCTTGCAGAGGGTATTATAATTTTGTCGTGAAATGTGTAACGCATAGAAGGAGACATCTCCGACCCCATAAAGTATATATATTCTTAATCAGCATCAACAGCCGAGTCGATATAGCCATGTCCGTCTGTCCGTCTGTCTGTTTCTATGCGAACTAGTCCCTCAGTTTTAAAGCTATCTTAATGAAACTTTGCAGAACTCCCTCTTTCTGTTGCACGCAGCACATATGTGAAAGCCAGCTGGATCGGGCCACTATATCATATAGCTGCCATAGGAACGATGGGTCGAAAATTAAGTTTTTGTATGAAAAAACATTAAACAAAATGTTTTTTATACAAAAACTTAATTTTCGACCGATCGTTCCTATGGCAGCTATATTATATAGTGGTCTCATATTTATAGGACTTGGCATATATATGAGAAGTATAGTAAAACAAATAATCGCCTAGTTTGGTCAAGATATCTTGAAGAACAAAATATTTTTTCATACAACAACTTAGTTTTTGACCGATGTTCCAATGGCAGTGATATAGTGGTCCGATCTTAATAGGATTTTGCATATATATGGGGAGTATAATAAAACAAATAATTGCCTAGTTTGGTCAAGATATCTTGAAAAACAAAATGTTTTTTCATACAACAACTTAGTTTTCGACCGATCGTTCCTATGGCAGCTATATAATATAGTGGTCCCATATTAATAGGATATTGCAGATAAATGAGGAGTATAGTAAATGAATGCCGATATTGGTCAAGATATCTTAAAGAACAAAATGTTTTTTCATACAACTTAATTTTCGACCGATCGTTCCTATGGCAGCTTTATGATGTAGTGGTCTCATATTCATAGGACTTTGCATATATATTAGGAGTATAGTAAATCTAATAAATACCGAGTTTGTTCAAGATATCTTGAAAAACAAAATGTTTTTTCATACAAAAACTTAATTTTCGACCGATCGATCCTATGGCAGCTATATGATATAGTGGTCCGATCTTAATAGGATCTTACATATATATGAGGAGTAAAGTAAAACTAATAAATGCCGAATTTTGGTCCCCGCCCACGGGCGTAAATAGAAAAAATTTTTAAATATAAACTCAAACTACAAACCTTATAAAGTTAATGAATAGCGTTAACAAAACTATAAGTTCATATATAAATCAAGGACCCAAGTATATATTAAGAATAACAACCCCAAATATGGGTTTGGTAGACGTTAAGACTGCTGACTCGACGGCTAACGTAATAAATAAAGTTGAGGTCAGCAACACAGATGTAAAATTGATAACAATTTTTGTCGTTATGATATTTGTCATATTAGTAGGACATCTATTGTACAAATTATATACGTATCATAATAAATGCATAAAAAAGAGATACCAGAGTCACGCAAATGACCTGGATAAAATCTAAATTTTTCTTGAACAATGATAAGCGACAAAATAAATAAATAAAATGAAATATATATATTCTTATTACCAGAAATGCCTATTAATAAGTTTGCGATAGAAGTATACTTAGAAGCAATATATAATAGCGACGCTGACTTTAGAATTCGTGCATTGAATATTCTACAACAATAAGATAAAAGGCATAATTTTAAATACACTGCCATAAGTTGGCATTAAAGAAATAGTGGTCCAGTGGACGGCGAGTGCCCAATTATAATGGTAAAACTTCATAAATAGAGAACTATGGAATGGAGTGAATTAGCGAAAAAAATAAATAATTTCAAAGATAAATTCGAAAAATCTTATAAGTGTGTTAATAAGAACGCACCTATAAGGGTTGAAACGCTAATTCACCACATAAACATATTAGTGCTAAACTATAATAACATAGTTCAACTTTATTTAAGTAAAGAAAATAGGCTTACAGAGCAGCATGTAAATCAATGTAAGAAAATAATCAAATCACTTGGGACTAGAATATCGAATATCAGCACTAGGCACATCATAGTAATAGATATCCCAACAGATTTAAAATTAATGGCAACTTTTGAACCAGATCAACTAGAAGAACTGAATGAGTCTAAGCCAACACTAAATAGTGACCCTGATACTGAAGCTGATAGCGACATTGAGCCACTTGAATTAACAGAACCAAACATGGGTGTAAATCAAGTGGCCTTAGACCGCGAATATGTAAGACAGGTATCGTCTACAATTCCGGAATTTGATGGCAAAAAGCTATCACTGGCCAGATTTCTAACGGCTTTAAGACTAGTCGATCGTACTAAAGGTACACAAGAAGACTTAGCCGTAGAAGTCATAAAGTCTAAAATAATTGGCCCAATTTTGTACAAAGTACAAAATGAAACATCCATTATTGGTATTATAAATAAATTAAATACCAATATCAAAGGCGAGTCAACTGACGTTATCAAAGCTAAGTTGCTTAACATAAAGCAGAAAGGCAAGTCAGCCTCGCAATATACAGCTGAAATGGACAGTTTGCGTAATCAACTGG